GTTGCTGTGAGATTTGGAGGGCAATTTGCAGATGATGGTGTTCCCAAATATCTGCAGTCCTTGTTCTACTGTGGTAGAAGTCATGGTTTTGAAAGATGCTGTTGAATGAGTTTGGTTAGTTACTCCAGTGGATGCCACTGTGTTTCAGATGCTAGGAATACTGGACAATTAATGCTCTGTCTTTTGATCATCAACCAGTGATGTTTTCTAGAAAGTGTACACTTGGATATTGGGTGATGGCAGAAAGTAGCTTGACAGTGTTGAATCTACTGGGTGAGGACAGGGAGGGTGCTGGTCATGCTGTACCTCACCATTCTGATATTGTTTGTGTGGAACATTTTTGCTGAAGAACATCTGCATCTTTAGCAAGGGCCATCACGTTCAGCAACTGGATGGATGAAGTAGGATGACAATTGGTGAGGAGTTTTTGATCAGAACTAAGATTCGACGCAAGAGTTTTCTCCCTTTTTGTGACAGGTTTGTTGTGTTGATAGTTTGATTGGATCCTTTACTTGTTTGTCTGCACACAGAAAGAGTTCATAAAACTCCACCAGTTAAACCGACAGATCTTTTTAATCCATATCCCACAATACTGTCTTTTTGTTTGATGCTTCTTATGCAGCACATTCTCTTAAAGCACGCTTTTGAAATCCCTTGAAAAATGTCCACCTGGGTGATTTTATAAGTGAATGACTAATTCAGGCATTAACACATGCAGCACACCTTCCAGTGAGGTCAGGATGGGCTGGCATTGAACCTGCAATTTACCTGGTTGAGTGGAGTGTGGTACCAGCTATGCATTTCAGACAAAACTTACTCAAATCTGATCTGTGAGCATAAAGACATTGAACGTCTAGATGTAATTCATTAGACTCATTCCGAGATATTTTCATCTGTGCAATTAGTGGGAGGCTATTTACCAGGTCCTCTTGTACTGTTTTTGTAAAGCTTTAACTGTTCATTGAATATTTATTAAGCTCACACTAAGGTGTTTCAATTTGTAGTAGGGAGCTCCCAAGTGTTTGACCAGGAATGCAATTGCTTTGAGACATTCCTTTTGATCTCAGTTTTTGCCAACTCAAACTCTAGGTTCTATTGCTGCCATATGTTGTGGAAGCCCTGACAACTCACGATTCAAGTATATTGCATTTGCTGAAGTAATTAGTTGCTGACTTAGAACTTCTGAGCAAATCCTTTTATACCACATACATCTGGCAGGTTTTGCGAATAGCCATTTTGTTTTGCTGAATATTTTCTATTGAAAGGCCAGCTGATTTTCACTTACTCAGAAAGTTGGAAAAAATAATCAAACCTTAACGCTTCATCTGTTACAAGGGTGGGGGAATCTTCCACTTCTCTGGAATGTTGGGTTTCCTTTGCTTTTTGCCTCTCGTACTAGAACTCTATATTGAGCCCTAATATTATAATCCAGGCTGATGTAGTAATGCAGTATTGAGAGAGTGCTGCATGTCCAGAGGGAAAATCTTTGTTTTAACTTAAACCCAAGTGTATACCTGTCAGCTGGGGTGGTTGTCAAAGATGGCCTCGTGGTATTGTTGTGGGACTCGTAATGCAGGGACTAGGTAGTGTCCTCGGGACCTGTGTTCAAATCCATTCATATCACATAGTGGAATTTGAATTCAATAAAAATCTGTAATTAAAAGTCAGATGGTCTCCATGAAGCTACAGTTGTTTGTTGTTAAATCCCATCTGGTTCACATATGTCCTTTAAAAAAGGAAGCTGTCCTCTTTAGCTTGCCTGATCTACATGTGATTCCAGAACCACAGCAAAATGAATGATTCTTAATTGCCCTCTGAAATAGTCTAACAAACTATTCAGTTGGATTGGTGCTAGTCAAGTGGCTGGTTCATCCTGCAAGGTGTCAAACTGAGTGTTTTTGGAGCTGAATTCATCCAGGTAAATGGGTAGTATTTCATCAGATTCCTGACTGGTGCCTTGTGGAAAGGCTTTGGGGAGTCAGGAAGTGGGTTGCTGGGTGAAAGAGTCTTAGCCTCTGACTTGCTACTATAGCCACAGTTCGTATTTAACAAATAAAAACTGAGAGAACTGCAGATACTGTAAATCAGAAACGGAAGCAGAAATCTCTGGAATAGCTCTGCAGGCCTGGTAACATCTGTGGAAAGAAATCAGAGTTAGTGTTTCGGGTCGAGTGACCCTTCCTCAGAATATCTTATTTGCCAGTCCAGTCCAGTTTCTGGTCAATGGTAACTCCTGTTCCTAATCTTACTGTCTGACAAAGTAATTAACAGTACTGCTCACATGACAAAGTTGGGTTTATGCAATATAAAGCATAAGATGTCAACTTGCTTTATTTTGGTCTGGCTTCCCCACTAATAATTGGCTTAATTGGTATTTTGTGAATTGTGCACTGATGTGTTGTGGTTGAGTTCAATTTGCTGAAGTGCAATCTGGCGACGAAAAGAAAATTGCAATCAACAGAACTGTACTGATGTTAGCAGTATCTGTGTCGTGACATCACGTTATGGGGAATTCTGAGTACTGCTTCCAAGGTGCAGAACCTTTGTTTAACACACATAAACTGGAAACCCAAATTTAAAAAAAAAAGTCCGCATAATTTGGGGGAAAAAAAACTGAAAGAACTGTGGATACTGTAAATCAGGAACAAAAACAGAAGTTGCTGGAAAAGCTCAGCAGGTCTGGCAGCATGTGTGAAGAAAAAAAAATCAGAGTTAACGTTTTGGGTCCGATTACCCTTCCTTAGAACTGATGGTAGCTGGGAAAACATCGGTTTATATGCAGAAAATTTTGGGAGGGGAGAGGGAGTAAATGATATGATAGAGCCTGAAGAGAGAGAAGAGCAGTTGGATAGACAAAGGAGTTGATAACGATCTGGCTAGGAGAGTGAATAACTGTTAATGGGGACTGTTAGTGACTAACAATAGGTAGTGTGTAATGGCAAGCTGTGTGATAACAAGGCCTGGTGTGTGGGGTATGGGGCTAGGACATGGGAAAGGTTAGGCCCTAAAATTATTGACCTCGATATTAAGTCCAGAGGGCTGCATGGTCCCCAAACGGAAAATGAGGTGCTGCTCTTCCAGTTTGTGCTGAGCTTCGCTGGAACATTGCAGCAAGCCAGAGACAGAAATGTTGGCCAGGGAACAGGGTGGTGTGTTAAAGTGGCAGCCAACAGTTAGCTCAGGGTCTTTTTTAAGAGCAGAATGTAGATGTTCTGCGAAGTGGTCACCCAGTCTAAGCTTCGTTTCCCCAATGTAGAGGAGACCACATTGTAAGCAGTGAATGCAATAGACTAGATTATGGGAAGTGCAGGTGAAGTGTTGCTTCATCTGGGAGGTATGTTTGGGCCCTTGGATAGTGGGGAGGGAGGAGGCAAATGGGCAGGTGTTGCACCTTCGCCAGTTGCAGGGGAAGGTGCTGTAGGGCTGTGGGGGAGTGTTGGGGGTGAAGGAAGAGTGGACCAGGGTGTCCCGGAGGAAACAGTCCCTGCAGAAGGCGGACAAGGGAGGGGAAGGGAATATATGTCTGGTGGTTGCATCTCGCTAGAGGTGGCTGAAATGGCATCTGATGATCTTCTGGATGTGGATGCTGGTGGGATGGTAGGTAAGGACAAGGGGAACAATTTTGGACCTGTGTAGGAGGCCAATCCAAATCTAAAAGGGAGCTTAAGATTTTGATTGTGACTTTTTTCCAGAAACGGTGCACTGGGTACTGACCTTGCTGCTTTCAATTGACTATTTCCCATGTTTGTTTAGTGAATAATTCCCTGTGTTGCTAATAGTTCTCGGTGTGTTGCTGCATGAAATTATTCACTCAGTGCAGTTGCATTCTATAGCTCTGTATCTTGCTGTCATTTTGAAGTCAATGGAGTAGATCTTTGACTTTCAAGCAGCTTACCTTACTGATTTTGATTTGTTTCTTCCAATGTTTTTGTTGTACGTTGTAATTTTAATCTGCTTTATTCAATTTTACATTCCCCAATAGAAATTAACCTGAGCAGTCAGGTAGCACTACGGTCTTCACCAGGATGCCATAGTGCTGATAGAAGGTCCTCTGTCACAAGCCACACCAATGTGAAGTTCACAATTTCTGTTCTATGGCAGGATAAAGCTTATAAAACCAGCATGTAATGAGAGAGGATACAACAACTTTGAAATAAATAATTATTGAGGTAACAAGAATGCTAAGAAACTGACATTTATTGTCTGTCCTGGTTGATTATGATAATAAGAGTGAACCATCTTTTTGAACTCGTACAAAGTATCTTGTGAAGGGTGACCTTGTAGAGGTTTATAAAATCATGAGGGCCATGGATAGGGTGAATAGCCAAGGTCTTTTTCCCAAGGTAGGGGAGTCCAAAACTAGAGGGCGTGGGTTTAAGATGAGAGGGAAAAGATTTAAAAAGGACCTGAGGTAACTTTCTCACGCAGAGGATGGTGCATGTATAGAACGATCTACCAGAAGAATTGGTGGAGGTGGGTACAGTTACGACATTTAAGAGTATCTGGATGAGTACATGAATAGGAAGGGTTCAGAGGATATGGGCCAAATGCTGGCAAATGGGACTAGATCAGTTTTTAGGATATCTGGTCAGCATGGATGATTTGGACCAAAGGGTCAGTTTCTGTGCTATATAGCTCTATGACTGTAGTGTCAGTTCTCCCGTAGTTCTATTAGATAGGCAGTTCAAGGATTTTGACTCGGTGACAGTGAAATAATGATGATTTATGCCTAAGTCAGAGAAGTATTGTGACTTGGAGGGAAACATGGTGTTTCCATGCAACTACTTGTCCTTGTTATTCCATGTGGTGGAGCTTGCAGGTTTGGGAGGGTTGACAATCAAAGTTCTACGCACAGATTAAAGTTGGCAGGCCTCTAGCAGTAATGTGTGGGGTCTCACCTGATGTATATGATGAAGAAAATAAGCCACTGGTGAATAAATAATGTGATGCTGCACCAACAGAATCCATCTTAATTAGTGCTTATTCTAATGTGTTTTCAGAGCCACACCGATCCATGGGTTTCTGGATGACTATGCATTCATTATACGGGGCCTGATAGACCTGTATGAAGCTTCCTTTGATGAGCAGTGGTTGGAATGGGCTGTAAAGCTCCAGCAAATACAGGATACCTTGTTCTGGGATGCTAAAGGATTTGCCTACTTCTCTGATGATGCCCAAGATCCATCAGTGCTAATTCGCCTCAAAGAAAGTGAGTATTTCATATTTAAAGAATTTTATTTGCTTTTTATCATCTCTGATGGAATACTGTTCCCTTCTGTTGTTGTCCACCTTCAAAGATAGTTGATGGAGCACTTTGGATTGTCAAAGTCTTTGATAAACATCAATTGCATCACAATTCACTTACTGCAAATCTGTTGAAGAGTGCTTCACTATATTTTCTAAATTTATCTGGAAGGAAGAAACTTGAATTTACAAAACATCTTTCTTGACCACAGGATATTTCAATATGGCTTCTAGCCAATGAAGTACTTTAGAAATGTTGTCACAGTTGATTATGAAATTGTGTCAGCACTATTGCTCAAAGCACGCTGCAACAAACAATGATGAGATAACGACGTGTTAGTCTGTTTTAATGATGTTTTGTTGAGGGACAAATATTTGCAGGAGTGGGTTGGGGTGGTTGGGGAGCTACCCTGTTGTTCTTCAGAATGGTTCTGTAGTTTCTTTTATTGCCATGTATGAGGGTAGACCCAGCCTTGGTTAATGTCTTGTACAATAGATGACACCTCTGAAAGCGCAGCTATCCTTTGGTTGAATGTCTACATGGATGATGTGTTTATGTGGGTTTTCAGTCGCACTCCTCGTTTTTCAGACTTAGCAGCAATAGTTCCAAAACTGAGCCATGTCTGACACGTGCTAGTATAACTTTGATAGAATTGCAATCCTAATACAGTCATTTGGGATATGATGACCGCTATTGGCAGTTTTCTGCACATTCAGCACACAGTTGGAGATCAGTGCACAGAGGAATATATTACGTGCTAGAGTTCAGCCTCATGAGAATGCTTACACAAGTGTAAAAATAGCTTGTTGCTCTGGCCTAAGCCGGGAGCTGGAAGCGATCTGAATTCTAATTGTCTTTTCCGTAGTTTATTTGTCAGACTTGCATTCTAAAACATTTTTTAGTCTTGGGTTGTTTTCTCAAATGTGACTGATGCTCAGGCTTTCTAAAGGATGGAAACAAGGGCCTCAAATTTCTGAAGAAGTTCTGAAGTTCTACAGTTCTGAAGAAGGGTTTCTGGATCTGAAACATTAACTCTGCTTTCTCTCCACAGATGATGCCAGACACACTAAGCTTTTCCAGTAATTTTTGCTTTTGCCTTAAATTCACTAAATGAGAAAGAAATCTAAGTTGCCTAGCTTTGTGACCTTCAGCACACATGGATTTCTCAGGCTGATCTGATTGAAATTCATGAAATGTTTAAGCAAATAGATTTTGTTGGTATAGATAATTCATTTCAGTGAAGCAAGTTATGGAGGACCATGATGACCATCTCAAATTGTATAAACCAGAAATCGTTTAGATGTCAGCTGTTGGCTCTATTTTTTTCTGCAAAATCATGGAACAGACCGCCAGCTTGCAGATGAAATAAAATGTAAAAAATGCTTAGCTGATGTATTATCTGTGGAGAGAGAAAAGAGGATTAATGTTTCAGGTGGATGATTTTTCATCAGAACAAATGATTGACCTGAACTGGAAACTTTGTCTCTGTCCACAGATGGCGCTTGACCTGCTAAGTATATCTAATTTCTATTTTTGTTTCCAGTCTCCACCATTGAGAGGCATTTTGGTTCTGTGTTAGTAAGGGGCCTTAATTCACTGAATTTCTTCAACTTATTTTTAGAAGAGTAGGGAGTTCTTCTGGTGTTCTGCTCACATTTGTCACTCAGACAGCAACTAAAGCAGATGGTCTGCCATTTATCTCATTGTTGGGGCTCTTGCTGTTCACAAATTCGTTGTCATGACTATCTGTGCAATACATGACTGCACTTGAACATGATAGTAATTCAATAGTAATGATTGTGATGTGCTTTAGGGAGTCCAAAGGATGTGATTGTCACAAACTGAATGTGAGTTAGTTCTTCCTTTTGTGGTTATAACATGTCTTTAGACATTAATGAACCTGCCCTCATCAGTCTCCTGAGAATGAGGATCGAGATGTAAGTGTGCAGCGTAGAGTAGCAGAAATCCAAATGAATGGTTGTACCTCAGGAACAGTTTGGCTTAATTTCCTTATCCCAAATAAATGAGGACAAGAATGGACACTGGCTCTGTAAGATTAATTGTCTCAAGTTGTTCAGATGTGTCAGCAGTAAAGGGAAATAAGTTGGGTACATGAGAGAGTTGTTCTCTACATCCATCATGATTATTCGTTGGTGCCAAAGTTTTATGCTGTCGTGCCTCAGGTGTTCAGGTCCATTTCCTGTATTAGGGACTTATTTTGCCAGTACAATCAAGGTTTTAACGTTACAATTCGTTTGTAACCTGTGTCTTACCCGCTGCGAATCCACATACCTCTGGCCTTATTGGTCACCACTGACTTCCTTTATCATATGCATATCAACTTCAAAATTGGATTGCTGAATTCATGACAGTAAAATTCAAGACTGATGTAAAATCAGCTTCAGAGTTTGATTTGTTTATTTGATTGCAGGAGATTAAAGTATTCATCCTTGTGTTTTATTTTAAATCATTTCTCTTCACCTAAATACCCTTGGATTGGGGGAGAAAAATATCAGCAAGGTGTCTCAGCACATCATAGAATGCAGGTCTCTAAAATTATATGGGTAGATGCAGGGATACTGTTTTTCTGGGGATACTATTTGAGCCTCAAGGACTCAACATAGAGTTCAGTAACTTGAGAGCCTGATTCCGTCATAGAATCATTGTTTCCACACTATAGGGATTCTATGAGTCCAAACTGCCCCTCAGAACATCCCACCCAGGCCCATCCCTCATAACCCACCTAATCTACACATCCCTGAACACTATAGGCAATTTAGCATGGCCATTCTACCTAGATTGCACATCTTTTGACTGTGGGAAGAAACTGGGGCACCTGGAGGAAACCCTCGCAGACACTGGGAGAATGTGCAAACTCCTCACCGACACCTTCCGTGGTTTTTACCCACCCTGACATTGTGGTCCTGTCATGTCATGTGCTGCATAGCCTCCCATTCCCTGCTACTCTTAGCTCTCATTATCGCTTATTCACCTTCTCTTCTGCCTTGGCCTACTATCAATAATCCCTTCGTCTACGTACCCTTTTCATGTCTCTCTGTCTCTGTCTCTATCCCTCTGGGCTCCCCACCCACCACCTCTTCAGCTGCTGTCAGTTCTGATGAAGAGTCACCAGTTTCGAAATGTGAACTCTGCTTTCTCCCCACAGGTATTGCCAGACCTGCTAAGTTCCTCCAGCAGTTTCTGTTTTTATTTCAGATCTCGAGCAACCTGCAGATCTCTTTTTTTGTACTATTTCTTCTGATTGTGTGAGTGCAGAACCAGATTGTGTAATTGTAAAACTATAGGTAGGCCATTTATGTTTGATACCAAGAAGCACCTCTTAGAGTCATACAGCATGGAAATAGATCCTTCGGTCCAGTTCGTCCACGCTGATCAGATAATCCATACTGACGTAATCAGCATTTGACCTGTATCCCTCTACACACTTCCTTTTCATGTACCCATCCAAATGCCTTTTAAATGTTGTGATCGTATCTGCCTCTACCACTTCCACTGGCAGCTCATTCCATATACGCATCACCCTCTATTATGCCCTCTACTTTTGGACTTAACCACCCTCGGAAAAAGACCTTGGCTATTCACCCTATCCATGCCTATCATTATTTTACAAAGCTCTATAAGGTCACCCCTCAGCCTCTGACACTCCAGCGAAGAAAGCCCAGCCTATTCAGCCACTCCCTATAACTCTCCAGTCTTGGGAACACATTTGTAGATCTTTTCTGTACCCTCTCATGTTTAACAATGTCCTTACTATGCCAGGGCAATCATAATTGTATGCAGTATTCTAAAAGCGGCCTCACCAATGTCTTGTAGAGCTGCAATATGACATCCCAACTTCAAAACTCAATGTTCTGACCGATGAAGGTAAGTGTGCCAAATGCCGCCTTCACTATCCTGTCTACCTGTAACGCCACTTTCAAGGAACTGTCAACCTGCACCCCTAGGTCCCTTTGTTCAACAACACTCCCCGGGGTCTTACCATTAACTGTGCGAGTCCTGCCTTGGTTTTCCTTACCAAAATGCAACACTTTGCATTTAACTAAATTGAACTCTATCTGCCATTTCTCGGCCCTTTTGGTCCATCTCATCAAGATCTTGTGCTGTGAGATAACCTTCTTCACTGTCCACTATATCGCCAATTTTGGTGTCATCCACAAACTTATAACCATACCTTCTATATTCTTATCCAAATCATTGATATAAATAACGAACAACAGTGGACCCAGCACTGATCCTTGTGGTACACTACTGGTTACAAGCCTCCAGTCTGAAAAACAACCCTCTACCACCACCCTCTGTTTTCTGCCATCAAGCCAATTTTGTATCCAATTAGCTATTTCTTCCTGGATCCCATGTAATCTAACCTTACCAACCAGTCTACCGTGTGGAACTTTGTTGAAAGCCTTGCTAAAGTCCGTGTAAACAATGTCTGCTGCTCTGCCTTCATCTGTCATCTTGGTAACCTCTTCAAACATCCCAATCAAATTTGTGAGACACTAATTCCCATGCACAAAACCATACTGACTACCCCTAATCGTCCTTGCCTTTCCAAATGCTCTATAAATCCTATCTCAGAAAATTTACACACCACACTCAGCAGGACAATTAACAAGAAATACAAAAGTAAAAGAAAACAACATTTACACTGTATGAGAGGATAGTGCAAATTGCTTGACAAGTCAATTCTGATTTCTAGTGATGTTACCAAGAAGAATGCACCAGTTTATGACAGCTGTCAATTAACTGACAAGTTTTGTTTAAATGTTAAACAAGACAGAAAGATACTGATTGGTGAAGGCAATTACCAGAGAAAATGACTTTTACCTAACTAACTGAAACAGGTACATGTGTGCATGTAATTTCTGTTGTCAAGGAACCCAGGTGTGTATATTAAGAAGTATAACTTCCAGTACACGCTAGTGCACCATATTGCCAGCTCGACTGACAGTACTAAATTGATTGTCAGAATAATTATTCTTCTTTCATACAGTATAAATGATTTTGATTTACCTTTTGTTGATATGATTTTACCTTTTTGTTATTTCTTCTGAGTAGTACTGATAAGTACAACATGAAAAACTTAGAGAAAAAGTTCTTTTCAACAATATTCCAGTGTCCTTTGTTTCAGTATTCAAGACATATTTCTTAATATTCTGCAAAATACTTGGGGGGAGGGGGTGTGGAATTGGATCACATCACTTGACCACTTTGGTCATCTTCATCATGTAATTTAGACTACAGCACCAACGTCAGTCATGGCTTCTGTTATTCAATGATCACTTGCCATAGAAGACAAAACTGTAACTATTCTCTCCAAGTCCAGCAAGTGCCGAGTCTCGCATGCAGCATGCCTCATACATAGTCTTGAATCTGAAGGGACATTTTACTCACTTGTGGAGAACCTGATTGGGAAGGGGAACTTAATTCTGGTGAGCTGACGTTTTAATGAACATTCATAACATGCTTGCAGATAAGAAAGCTCAATTCCACTTTTAAAGTTCTGAGAACTTAATTGAAACTTTGATCCTGTCATTGGCAACCTGATATTTGACCTGTCACACAATTTAGTTCTCCTGCCCATCTTGTTTTCTGCTCTCAGGATCAGTATAAGAACTAGTCAATAGAGCATGCTTGTGGAGAGGAGGTGGTGGTGACCCTCCCCCTCAGTCAGAAGGTCAGGGTTCAAGTCACACCAAGCTATAGAGGTTTGTAATGATGATCCTGAACAGGTTGATTAGAAAGTAACTGTAATCCCGCTGCATTTTTCTGAGCCTGTGATTGGTCTGTTGGGAGATTTGACCCAGTTTGTATCTTGCATCTCAGAGATGGGGAGTCAGCCGTGGAGTGAAGCTGCAGTCACTACTTGCTGCCGACAGCGGGGGATTAGAGAGTATGAGGTAGCAATACTAAAGAAAAAAATGCTAAATGTTGCTGGTGTTTTGGCGAAGTATCCGGTGAAGTATGTTTGAAATTCTGAGATGACTCATTTATTCAGCAGTTGTCGATAGGTTGCTAATTGAAGTGTTAGCCACGAAATGCTGTACCACCCCACCAGTGATCATTAGCAAGCAATCCGATTATCAACCAACATGGGCCTCTTGTAGTGAAGTGGTAGTGTCCCTACCTCTGTGTCAGGATACCAGGGTTCAAGTCCCACCCTCTCTAGAGGTGTGTAATAACACCTCTGAACAGGTTGATCTAAACAGAAATGCTAGTAGCCTAGCACATCTTTCTGCTCCACTAGAAAGATGCCACCTTGCACTAGATACAGGCTAACTGAGCTTTGCAGCTTAATGCCACATCAGAAGCTCTTACAGGACAGACTATTCAATGAGTATCAGCATATGTCCGTTAAAGTGAGGCATAACTCCTCAATTCCTGAGGCCATTTTTGAGGAAAAACAAGGAATTTTACAGTACTTCTTTGTTTATATGCTGAATGGTTTTGAGACATTTTTGCTTGATATGTTTTGTTTGGTATATTGTCTCACACATCTTCCTTGGAGAATGATGTGGAATGCTGTAAGTTTTTTTTAAGCCTCATTAGCAATCTGCTTTCAGTTGTATGAACACTGCTGTGACTGGTAAGTCCTGGAGTGGGACTTGAACCTGGTAACTTTTGACTCAAAGGCAGATGTGCTACGAATAAAAATAATTTGGGTCCACAGAAATGATAACACATCAGCAGGGGCAGATTGGTTGTCACCATGTTGTACAGTTTGTGGGAGCTTGCTATGTACATATTGGCAACTGTTTGACTGGGCTTCATTTCACTCGGTATGAAGTGCTGCTGCCAAACCCTGGGTATAGGATAAGGTGCTATGTAAATGCAAGCTTTTCTCCCCCCTCTCTCCAGATGCCACTAGACGCACTGAGTTTCTCCAGCTCTTTGGTTTTGTCATTGAACTATTTCACTGCTTGCAGAGAAGTGGAGTTACTTGTCATTGTTATGACCTTTGTAGTTCAGTTTCAGTTCAAATGATAGAAGGGCAAGGTTTTTAGAAACGTGTTTAATTTTTAATATTTTTAAATAGACCAGGATGGTGCGGAACCCAGTGGCAATGCAGTAGCTGCTTCCAATCTTGTGCGCCTGGCAAATTTCGCCAACCGACCAGACTGGAGTGATAGGTCAAGACAGCTCGTGGCAGCATTTACAAAACTGTTGGATAGTATGCCCATCGCACTGCCGGAAATGGTAACTGCCCTGATGGTACAACATTACCCACTGAAACAGGTAGGTTTCAACATTACTTTTGCTTAACATTACTTAAACATTACAACATTGTGCTGTTAAAAATATAGAATCAATTACAGCTGAAGTGTACGGGCTCAGTTGGAACTGTTAGTAGAACATTAGCTGGTAATGAATTGAGAAGGATTATTTAGATGATTAATTTGAGATGATGACATTTGATAAAGTAGTGAATTACAATTAGGTTTATTGTCACATGTACTCATGTGAGTACCGTATGTAACATGCTATTTGAACAGGGTCTGCAAAGGAGAGGTCTTCTCAAAGGACCTGCCTTTTGATCATCATTTCATTGAGTTTTTGTTCACTGCCCCATGTGGCCAATGTCAGTTTGATCCTAGATCCAAATACTTTTTCAAGTTGGCTCTCCAGTGACCAGTACATTCATTGCCTGATGTGATAGCTAGCCTTTTAAAGTAAAGACCTTAAATTTCTTGGTCTGGAATGTGTAAGTTCATTTCAGCTGGACTGGAGATTTGAGCTGCACTAATTTGGCCTCTATGACTGCGCCGAGCAGTGTACGATGGTGATCAGTGCTGGGACCCTTGCTGTTTGTTATCTTAATTAATGACTTGGATGTGAATGTAGTAGGAATACATACTAAGTTTGCAGATGATAAGAAAATTGGTTAGTTGATCGTGGGGAAAATGACCTCAGGCTACAGTCTGATATTGATCAGTTGGTAAATTGGGCAGAGAAATGGCAGGTGGAATTTAGTCCTTAAATGTGAGGTGATGCATTTTGGGAGATATATATGAGTAGGATCTACACAAAGAGTGATAGGTCCCTAGGGCATATTAAGAAACAAAGGGACCTTGGTGTACAGGTCCATAGATCCCTGGAGATGTCAGTGCAAGCAGACAGGGTGGTGAAGACGACATACAGATACTTGCCTTCATTAGTTGCAGCATCAAATATAGGGCAGAAAAGCCGTACTGCAACTTCATAGAGCGTTGGTTAGACCACAAATAGAATATTGTGTGCAGTTTTGGTTATCGGAAGCACTGGAGAGAGTGCAGTAGAGATTCACCAGGATGTTGTCTGAAATGAAAAGTCTTGGCTATGAGGAGAGACTGGATTGGCTGGGTTTGTTTTTCTTGGAACAGAAGAGGCTCAGGGGATATCTGACTAAGGTATACAAATCCATGAGAACAATAGACAGGGTAGGGTGTGAGAATCTTCTCCCCATGGCAGATGTGTCTAAGACCAGAAGGCGTAAATTCTAAGTGAGGAGTAAGTGGTTTAAAGGAGATCTGAGGAACAGTTTTTTTTCACCCAGAGGGTGGTAGGTATTTGGATTATATTGCTTGAGAGGATGGTGGAGGTAGGTACCCTCGCAACATTTAGGGAGCATCTGGATAAGCACTTAAAATGCCAGGGCGCAGCGGGCTATGGACCATGTGCGGGTAAATGGGATTAGTATAGTTTGGTGTTTGTTGGTAAGATCAACATAGTGGGCTGAAGGGACTATTTCCATGATGTATGACTCTGATTTGGGGATGGTGGGATCCAAAATGAGCCAGGATTTCTGCTTTAGGTCATTGACCAGGGACAGCTACTGCTGGGTTGTGCAAGGGTGATGGACAGATTCAGCTCAGCTATGGCATCCTCCACTTTCAGTGTCCAGAGTATCTTGATTTAAAAATTCTCAGTCTAGTGTTCAAATCTCTGTATGGCCTCATCCTTATCATTTTTCTGACCTTCCCCTGGCATGGAACCACCGAAACCTCTCTCCCTTGAACAGTGTCCTCTTATGCAGGAAAGCTGACGTTTCGGGCCTAGACCCTTCTTCAGAATTCGGAATGATTTCTGAAGAAGGG